CCCAGCTCTGGGCTGCTGTGGCCGCCTCTGCCTTGCAATCCTTTGTCTCCCAGCTCTGGACGTCGCAAGCTCTAGTTTCGATCTGCTTGGGGTCTACGGTGGTGTAATTAGTCTCCCAGGTCTGTCACTGCTGGTGTCCCTCCTTTTCCGTTGGCCATGTAGCATTTCTATTCATTTGTCTCCCAGGTCTGTCGCTGCTGGTGTCCGCCCTTTTCCGCTGGCCATGCAGCATTTCTATTCATTTGTCTCCAACGCCTGTCACTGCTGGTGTCCGCCCTTTTCCGCTGGCCATGTAGCAGTTCTATTCATTTGTCTCCCAGGTCTGTCACTGCTGGTGTCCGCCCTTTTCTGTTGGCCATGTAGCACTTCTATTCATTTGTCTCCCAGTGTCCGCCCTTGTCCGCTGGCCATGTAGCATTTCTATTCATTTGTCTCCCAGGTCTGTCACTGGTGGTGTCCGCCCTTTTCCGCTGGCCATGTATTTTCCGTTGGCCATGTAGTCGACGCAACATTTCAACACATTTGTCTCCCAGGTTTGTCACTGGTGGTGTCCGCCCTTTTCCACTGGCCATGTAGCATTTCTATTCATTTGTCTCCCAGGTGGTTTCTTTACTTTTGTCTCCCAGGTTCGGTGCCTGCACTGCGGTGTCCGCCCTTTTCTGCTCTCCATGCAGCATATCTATTCATTTGTCTCCCATGTGATTTCTTTACTTTTGTCTTCCAGGTTCGGTGCCTGCACTGGTGTCTGCCTTTTTCCGCTGGCCATGCAGCATATCTATTCATTTGTCTCCCAGGTGACCAGGTGACTTCTTTGCTTTTGTCTTCCGATTTCTGTGCTTATGTCTCCCAGGTTCGGTGCCTGCACTGCTGGGGTCCGCCCTTTTCCGCTGGCCATGCAGCATTTCTATTCATTTGTCTCCCATGTGACTTCTTTACTTTTGTCTCCCAGGTTCGGGTGCCGTCCGCCCTGTTCCGTCGGGCATGCAGCATTTCTATTCATTTGTTTGCCATGTGATTTCTTTACTTTTCTCCAAACAGGTTACTGTTAGGGGTTCTCAATGCTTTCTAAGAGTGTCCGCCTTGCTGCGGGACAGCGTGTCCGCCTTCCGTCCGGCTTGTCACCCATTGTCTCCCTTCTCTTTGGTCATTGCGTCCGCCTTGTCTTCCTTCTGTCTCCGGTCTTGCCTCCCTTCTTGTCGGTCACTGTGTCCGCCTTGTCTCTTGTCTGCCTTCTTGTGTCCACCTTGTCTCCCTCCTGTCTTCCTTTGTCTCGGGTCTTGTCTCCCTTCTTGTTGGTCACTGTGTCGGGCTTGTCTCCCTTCTGTCTGCTTTTGTTTCCCTTCTTGTCTCTCTAGGATTGCAACACAGCAGTTGAGAGCTGGGAGACAAATGGGAATGAAGGCAGAGGGAGTACAGAAGTAAAGGGAGTACAGCTCTGGGCTGCTGTGTCCGCCTCTGCCTTGCAATCCTTTGCATGTGTCTCCCAGCTCTGGACTGCTCTGTCCGCCTCTCGCTTGCAATCCTTTACATGTGTCTCCAGCTCTGGGCTGCTGTGTCCGCCTTGCCTTGGAATCGACTGCTGTATCCACCTCTGCCTTGCAATCCTTAATTTTACACGTGTCACCAGCTCTTGACTGCTATTTCTTGCATTCCTTTGTCTCCCAGCTCTGGACGTCGCAAACTCTAGTTGCAGATTGCAGAGTGTTCCGTTTGAAAAACACAAACTGTTTGGTCTACGGCGGTGTAACTTCTTACTGGTTTTCATCCACCCGACTCATCAAACACCTGCCTCTCTGCTGATTTTTTTGAGCTCAAGGACCACCAAGGTGTCTCCACGCCAACCAGGTGTCTCCCTCCGTGCCACCGTTGCCGCGGAACGAGGAACGCCTTGAGCAGCTTGGCCAGACATGGACAATCCTTTTAAGCTGAGCTGTGTTGACCAGCTTCGTCACAGAGACACCTTCCTCGGAATACATGGCACCAAGGCGCAAAGTGCGTCCAGGATCCGAGGACGCTCAGAGAGTAGCAAGAAAGCCAACCGGTGACCGGCGCCTTTGGTGTGTTCAACGTGGATACCAGGAGAAACCAAAAGGTTTACTGTGTCGTTTTCTTTTTCCTCCTTCCTCTTCTTCCTCCTTGCTCTTCTCCTATGAGTTTTCCATAGTCTTCCCCGAGAGACTGAGCGAAGGGTTCTTTTAAAAAGACAGGTGCATTGCATACCATCACAACTTACATCTGGACTTATCCAGACATGCACATCTTCACATCTTCACATCTGCACATCTGCACCTCTCTCTCTCTCTCTCTCTTTCTCTCTTTTTCTTTTCTCTCTGCCCCTCTCTCTCCATCCCCTAATTTTTTTAAAAATATTCTCTTTCTTTCTTAGGCCGGAGGTGGCTCGAAAAGCGTGTCAAGTGTCAAAAGCTGGGGGAATACACCGATTTTGAAGCTACCGCGGCAACATTTTTGCATGCAATGAGGGTCAAATGTCCAAAAAGGGAGAATATTGCGACTTTGAAACTTCCACGGCATTTCTTTGGCACGAAATGAGGTTCAAGCGTCAAAATCTGCGGGAATAGGGCGAAGTTGAAACTTCCGCAGCAACCCTTTCGTACGAAATGAAGGTCGGGTGTGGTTTCCAATGGTGAAAGTTGAAGCGTGTAGTTGTCGCCGAAAATGAAGGTTGGCAAAGTGTGTAAGTGTCGTCGAAGATACGCCTGTGATGTCGCTGTGCCATGCGGCTTGGTGGAGGACCCAGAGTGCTTTGCCAAGGGTGTGACAGGGTGCTGCTAGCGTTCTAGGAGGAGACAAACAGACCTTCGCGGAAGGCACTGCTACGAAGGAAAAGCAATGCGGTTCTCTTTTATTTAGCGGCCACGGCGAGCAGCACGGTCAAGCTCAACCTAAACAGTGATGCGGTTGCGTTCACACTCGGTGATGCGTGGAATGCTTCCATGCATGAATAGGAAAGCATTGTTGTATCTAGTCTGTGGCACACAGTGTGGCGAAATTACCTCTTTGGGTCCGCTGTGCCATTTGGAGTGGCGCGGCCTCGGTGGACAATGTGTTTGCGTGAGTCGATGGGGGAAGGGACACATGAAGCGCGGGCAGCGGGGAGTGGGATCAAGGTCACTCAAGCGCAGAGAACCTGACATTCGACATGTTTCAATGCTTCTTTTTCTGAGTGCTTTGAAGACTCTTAGCCTTGCAACACTCATATGCGGTGCCTGCCAGGGACACCCCCCGGACACTGCGCAAAGTCTAAGAAAGGCGTCTTCCACACGTTGGGCCACAAAATAGAACTCGTACACATATTTTTCAGAGAGCGTCACCGACTCATTTTTTCACCTCATGTTTTCACCACTTTTTCTCTCACCATCTCATAACTCTCTTTACTTTACTTATTCATCGTAATGCAAGCATACCTTACCACCTAAGCGCTCTTGGGCCATCCGTCGTCTAGTTTCAAAAAAACAATTGGAAATTTTTGCAAAGGTCAGAGGGCGTTGACTGGGTTTTTGGCACCTGATCAGCTGTTTCTGCATCTGACTATGGACCAGGCATATTGTCCTTTTTGGTGCTCCCTCATGTTGGCTTCGACACTTCGGTGATGGAAACCAGCACCTGAGATCGAAGTGTCCCAAAATAGTTATATAATTGGAACTAGTTGGAACTGGAGTTTTCACCGACATGTTGAAAGGATGATGGCAATTGACTCTAGCCGCGTCCAGGAACGTATTCTGCCCACACCCTTGGAACAACCGCGAGACCAGGAGACACTGCTGAAACTAAATCTGAAGATTTCATGGGATAGCAGATGCGTTGCTCTTCAACATGTCACCGTACACTGTGAGCTTCACTTCAGTTCTGCAAAACTCAATGATGCCATGTCGCCAACGCAGATGCGTTTAGCGGTTAGCCAGACTGATTGGTTTAAATTGAATTGTTTGTGAGGGGCTTGGCCAGACTTTGGAGCCACAAGTTTTTCGGTTGCCCTGCCATTCCTGGTTCCTGTTCCCAGCCTTTTGGGCTTCCGGGAATATCCATGGATGGAGGGCTTTTCCCTTCTTCATTGAGGAGCCCCTTCCAGAGCCGGTTCCGCTTGCAGATCCAGGTCGGGACTCCGAATCGATCCGTAAATCGAGATTTTGATTTGAACCTGTACAAATTTGACCGCCCAATACAGGCTCCAGTTGGGAGAATCATCACTCTTATATATATATATATATATATGTATAACCATACAGTTTTTCCACCACAGTAGGCTCATTTTGCACCCAAAAAACGAGGACAGGTATAGGTCTATCTGAAGATGGAGATTGTTTGCATCCTCCATGTTGCGATGTATGGAGACGTCTACTGACCACCTCCGCGTTTTGTGACCAATGCTATGTCTGCATCCCAACCGAGGTTTGAGAGCTGCAGCGCCTGGTCAGCAGGTTTTCATGTGGCGAGTGAAAGCCCGCCGCTCGAGGGGATCGGCTTCATGATTCATGATTGTGTGATACTTCAAGCCAACAAGGGACTTTCGGCTTTGGTTTGGAAACCGCAGCTTGCAGGCCATGTATCTTATACCGGGTTAAAAGCTATAGTACTCAGTATTCTCATTCTCATCTGTGCTGCTGTTGCGAAAAGGTCGGTTTCTAGCAAAAGCCATTTCATTTACCAACTGTTCCTCCTTGTTGCGCGCCTGGCTCACAATGAATGGGGTCCCTTGGGTGCCAAGACCAAGCCATTTGTTTGGCAGAAAGGACTGCCGTATGAATCTGAATATGCAATTGCTTAGAACTGGCATTAGTCTTATTTTGGATGGACATCTAACCCAGCAAGCTGGCAATGGGCTGGCCTGGCCCAGGAAAAGTATTTGGCCTCTTCCGGGGAGAATCTCAAGGCGCTAAAGAGAGATGGGCGATGTAGATCACACTGGGGTTGGCTTAGAGAAGATGTTCTTCCCAAGGCTTTTCCTGGTGATTCAATCAGTGCATGCCGGTTGTGATTCATTCATGCGCGCTTCGTTAAATTGAGCGCATCGTACGAGGCCCATTGTTTTGTTTTTGGTGTTTAGCCCCAGAATTGGTGAGGATTGGACTGAGTTGTTGGATGAGGGTGTTCTGAAGCTGGAGGTCTGCATTTGTCTAGTCTTTGCCAAGGACTAGGTGAGCGACATCAATAGATACTCTATGGTTCAGCGAGACATTTTGTACATGAAGGGGCTCCAACCTACACTCATTGCACTTGCACATATTTTGGATGATTCTCGATGCAGATTGGTGATCCTGTTGCTTGACAGGGCTGTCTCATGGACAAAACTTCTGTTACTCCATTGTTATATATGTTCCTCAGAGTAAGACTGCGTACCTGGTATATATATATATAGGATATATATGAACCTTAACTACGACCTTGGACAACGCACCTCAAGCCTCAAGGGGTTTATGCTCTGCTGGGGTGCTTTGCTGGACGGGGCCGCTGCCTTTGCGTCTCTTTCACTTCGTTCTCTTGCCCAGTCCACTGTCATCCTTCGGCTTTTGTCCCCTTTATTTCTGGACTTTCTATTGGACTTATTTGTGGACTTTTGGCCGGTTTTTGGATTTTCTGGACTTGCTTGATCCCGATCATCTCACCTCCTCACAGGTGGGCGCATCCTCCCCTAATCCCAGGGGCTCTCCTACTGCTCATCCGAGTAGGCTCAGGGCCTATTTGCATGAGTGAATCCGATCAGCTGGGCAAGGACCTTCGTGCATTGACCTCAGCAATCCGTGATCTCACTCTGGCTACTCAAGAGCTGCAACGGGATAGAGTGGAGGAGGCTGCATCAAGCGGAGGACAAGAGAAAGCATTGCACCTTGCAGAGGACGGTGGCTGGGAGCTCATACAGGACGGAACTGCGATTCCAGGTTCCCCGTCTGATTTTCTGCAGCGACCGGTGGTGGTTGAGTTTGAAGAAGGGCCACCTGAGACTCCAACCTTTTGTCTTCAGTTGGCGAAGAGGCATTTGTCGTCCTCGAAGGCATCTTCCGTAGACCGTGCGAGGGAAGCATTCAAGGCGGGCTTCTGGGTGAGGGCATTCTGGACGTGCAAGACTGATTACACCAGTCAGTATACTCCATTAGTGCCAGGTTCAGCCCATTGGGTACTTCGGAAGGGAGCATCATTTGAGTTTCTGCGGGTGACCAGCCAAGCGGATTCTGATCGCCTCTGCCGTACCTACCCTGATTTGGTGTTCGTTGAGAAGTTCCCATCTCTCACTGAGCTGCATATTTTCTGTGCCGGAGCATCGACCCCCGTTCCACCTCTGTGGAAATGGAGCGGTCAGGCATAGTCTTTGCAGAAGAGGGAGTTGAAATTCAGTCTTTTGCTGTCCCTTTGATTTCAAGGAAGAAGGGGCTGATGCTTGCATTGCCAGTGGGTCTCATCAAGAGTGGCTTGTTGTCGCCTGGTGGGCCTATCGATGAGGACGCCGTGGTTGGGCCTTCTCATATCTTCGAGGTCGATTTGATCTTGGAGGATGAACTCACAGGAGCTCCATACTCAGCAGATACAAAAGTTGAGGTGCTGGTTGCTGATTTCTCAAATGATGTTTTACCGCTGCTGCGGGACTATGACCCTGTCTCCGACTCCACTGAAGGGATCAGGGGTTATGATGAGCGTCACCCTACAGGGATTCCGACAGCACCTGATCTTCTTACTACGGTCATGACCTGGGCAGAAAGCGATATGGCTAGCAGGGCCCATTTTTACAGCGCTCGAGAAGAGCCAGGGCCAAAGACTTCTGGGGTTGCAAAACGACCTCCCGCAAAGCGGATGACAACTGCAGCGCTGGCAGAGCAGATTGCGACCCTGTCTGCTCAAGTGTCGCTTTTGACCGCTCAGCAACGGCAAGGCCTCGAGTTGGAGGAGAAGCCCATGGTCGTGAAGTCCCCGCCGCCTCGTACACCTGCCATTCGTGCTCCAGAGCCAAACGTTTTGGTCGCCCAAGGTATGGCGCCCAAGATGCCAGCCGTCTCAGCAGGTCTTCAGAGTCCAGAGATCCATCGCTCTTCCAGGGTTCTGCAGCTGGCCGGGCCCCCACCGAAGACTCGAGCATCCCCAGGGACTTCTGGACTGGCTCTACTCCCATCAGACGAGCCTTACGATCCAGTCAAGGCACCTCTGGAGACACCCGAGCAGATTCTGGCATCTCAAGCTGTGGCTCTCAATGCATTGGTGTCACATCTCATTCAAGGAGGCGATTCTCTCAGCATGGATTTTCACGCTGGAGGTGCAGCTTCGAGTTCCACAAGAGGCACCGTGAAAAGAGAGAGGCTACAGCAGGAGCTTGCCTCCAGGCAGTCAGGGTCCCAAATTCCCAAAGAAGCCCAAGGGGGCAGGGGAGGGACAACAATGAAGACTTCACCCCTGAGGAAAGAATTCACCTCCAGTTCGAAGACAAGCTGGAGTGCATGTGACCTTCAGAGGGACCTTTTGGGTTGGCCTCCTGATCCGACGTGCGCGGAGCCGACTTGTGATGGTGGTCAATCCTCTAGGCCTCTGAGCTCCCCTTTCAGTCCCGGGGTCGGCGCAGGAAGCTTCACGTCGGAGCATCCGAGCCGTCCCAAGGACGGGTTGAGCGGGTCTAAGCACGGCATCATCAGGCAGCTCAGCTACCCTTTGTGGTGCATGAAGTTGACTACCTTGGTGTTGAGATCACGTACAGCCTTTGCTTCTTTTGTTGCTTCCTCCATCCGTATTTCCAGAGGTCCTTTGCCGAGGACTTCTACCTCACCGGCTTTGTTCCCTGTCCCTCCGCCAGTTGATGGCTGTTTTGACAGGATGCCTGCTGGAATCTCTAGTTACAGAAGGCGTGCCACCGGTCTTGCAAGAGCAGTGCATATTATTTGCATGGCATTGAACTTTTGGCATTCAGGTGGCAACTTCCAATACTTGGATTCTTTGTGGAGAGCTCCTAACCCTCTTCATCGTGCTTTGTACAAGAGGATTCGAGCTTTTGTGAAGTCGGACGGCCTCACTGCAGGCTTTGACTCCCTGCATGTTGGCCGCAAGAACCCAGAGCTTTTTGCAAGGTTGAATGAGTTGACGTCTATGCTTACAATGCTGGGTTGTTCGGCGTCGCCTTATTCTCGGGTATTCACAGGCTATGATGTCGCCAAGGACAATTCGCAGTTCCCTGAGCTAGAACCTTATCGAGACCTGGATCCATCACGCCTCTTCCTTTTCGGGCGTGGTCTTGGGACGTGACAGAGTTCCTTGGAGATGGTTTGGTGATGGCTTATCGCGAACCTGAGAGTATCAAGGTTGAGAGAGATCCAGCTCCTTGGGAATATCCCCGTCTTCGAGATCCACCGGAAACCATTGCTCAGCTGGCTAAACTCTGGGACCGTCAGGGACTTCTCCTATTGCATCGCTCGAAGCTCCAAACCCGAAGAAGCTGCGAATTGGTGCGGGTGTTCAACTGCTACAAGGCTATAGACAGAGACAGACAAATAGGTGACCGTCGTGGCCGGAATGCAGTTGAGGGTGTGCTTCAGGGTCCTTCATGCAATCTTCCTGCAGGACAAGATCTTTGTGACTTGAGCATTGATTTGCGCACCCATCGCCTGCGTGTGTCAATCTGTGACCGGAGAGACTTCTACCACCAGCTTTGGGCAACAAGAGCTAGAGCAGTTACGAACACCCTTGGTCCTGGATTGCCCGTCGAAATGGTCGAAGATACAGAAGCTTTCCAGACTTTTCTGCTCACCGGCGGAAGAAATACTCCCGAGAAAGGCGTGGTGATAGACTTGGAGCTGCTGCAGGTCCGATAGTGAGCGACGATCTCATTTGGGCTAGCTTCAAGAGCGTGCTCCAAGGAGACCATGGAGGTGTTGAGATCGCAACAGATGCACACAGCAGGCGCGGCTATTGCAGAATTATGGGCTGCTTGCTGAGGATGTCGAGTATGCACGGTTGGGGCTCCAGCCCAGAAACGGTTGGCTTTGTCCTCTTTGACGCTGCAGGCTTGTGCTCTTCCTTATACTACAGTCTCGCTTCATCGCTGCATTGTTGGTGCTTGGGTCTCGATTCTTTTGTACCGCAGGCCGATGATGAACTTGCTAAACGAAGCGTTTGTCCTGAATGAACAGTTCTCTGCTTTGGATGAGGGAGCTCTGGTGCCCTTGTCGAGGAAGGTTGCATGTGAGCTGGTGATGTGCGCTGTTCTGGCGCCCCTGATGTTGAGCGACATTGCAGTGGACTTCGAGGACAATGTCTTCGCCACAGATGCGTCAGAGAGCAGAGGAGCTATTTGTTCTTCCTACCTTGGGCGAGATATATCTCTCATGCTCTCCAAGATCTGCAGAACAAAGGGTGCCTACACGCGGCTTAGCCGGGACAGCAATGATGGCCATCCCCAAATGGTGCTGACGACATTGACGAAGAGGCTGGGGGCTGCCAGCCGCTGGGCATTCAGAGGCCTATCGCGTTCAGCTTTGAGTTCATCGAGGTTTTTGCAGGGTCCAGCAGAATCTCTGCAGCTTTGAGTGAGCTTGGGGTTAATGTGGGCCCACCCTTGGACATCTCCATCTCGGAAGAGTATGACCTGTCCCAAGTGCATGTCCTCTCCTGGCTTTACCATCTCATTGAAGAAGGCAGATTGCTCGCTATTGCTTTGGAGCCTCCTTGCACGACGTTTAGCATTATGAGGAGGCCAGCCCTGAGGAGCAAGAGAGTCCCCTTGGGGTTCAATACACGAGACCCGAAGACCAGGTTGGGCAACCTGCTGTTCCTTCGTGCTTTGCAGCTTCTCAAGAAGGCAGTTCTTCACCGCATGGCTGGACTTTTGGAGAGGCCTTTTAGTGCATTGAGCAAGTTTCTCCCAAGCTACCAGGCTTCGTTGCGGTGGCCAGGAGTTCA